ATATCCTACGATTGTATGAATGGCACTTCGAGAATCCACATAAAAAACAACTTTCTGATTGGTTATATTTTTAATGGCTCCAAGGGCTAACAAAATTACATACAATTTAGCATCAAAATTATCACAGAGGTGCTTCAACTGAAAAGGGAGGAATAAGGTCATAGCCTTAAAGCTGCTTATTTTTTGTGTTCAAAGAAAGCTACAAAATTTTTATGAACAGACCTTGCTTAACTCTTGTAATTTTAAAGTACAATATGCTTTATGAAATATTGTATGTCTGTGTTTACAAAACAAAATTAAAACTGTTGCATTTCACACAAAATATTTAAGAAAAAAGTATATTTTTGTATACTTTTTTTATACTTCCCCTCATTTATTGTATATTTCTTCTCAGTTGCTATTAAAAAAAAGTAAAATTTTTGAACCATTGTATCCTGGTTAAGAATTTGTAATTTTCTGTTCTGAATTCTGTAAAATTTACTTTTTTAATGTAGTGTGCGATTTACTTCTCAAACATGTTTTTGTTTTAAGTAAAATATGAAAATAATTTTCTCCCAGGAAATTGAAAATTATTTCAAAGAAAGGGAAAAAAAATTTCATGTCACCTCTTTGTTATGATGAATAGGTAAGTGGACAAAATTTCGTAACCTTTACTTTTTTAATGCTTAGCTGTATTTTTTTAATTGCTTTAAGTGGACTTCTCACTTTTTAACTCTATTATGATTATACTCAGCTAAGTATTTTATTGAAGATCATATTAAAAGCTTTTCCACATGAAATAATATATTTATTCAGCTATTTAAGTACTGAGCTGTAAAATGTTTATGTAAAAAATTTCTTATAATATTATATATAATATTTTACTTTATCGTTTTTAATATAAAAAGGATTTTAGTATAATCTTGTATTTTTTTCTTGTATCTAACCATTTTTTTAGAGAAAAAAATTTGTAAATTTGTGTGAAAATAGTATTTATAGGGGATATCAAAAGAAAAAAAAAATGACATTTCAATAATTTGTGTAATTTTTGTTACAACTTAATAAAATTAATTTCAATACTAAAGGTTCAAAAGGAGCTAAATTTTACTAATGAACTAATTAACTTTTCAAAAAAGTTTTCTTTTGTTGAATCTGTATTTTTTTTCTACTTAAAGAGATGTAAAATCTCGAAATAGTATATGTTCCTGATTTAGTTTAAATTTGATAATTCCAGAAGCATTCAAAGAGAATAATATTTGCCCATATTCGTAAATACTTCATGTAGATGATTCAGAATTTTTTAGCTCTGTGGGATAAGTAAATTCATAATTATTATAAATTAGTATTCAACTCGTTAACAACTGTTTTCCCCCCATAAATTTGACCTTCAATATTTTTTTAAATTATCAGAGGAAAATGACTGTAGGAGCTTTATAATCTGAAAGGAATGTAAATACTAAAATTTGAAATACTTAAATTAAAAAAATCATGTCGGCAAATGTCTGAAATATCAATTAGTGTCAATTTTTTAAAAATCTCATAATTTATAAAACTACAAGCAACTACAATTTTCAAAATTAAAAATTAAGGCTAAATTTTAAAAATCATGGGTGAAAAAAGAAATGACATTGATACTGATATTTCTTTTAAAAGTCAAAAGGCCTATGTTAATTGATTCATTTATTTATATTGTCATGAAATTTCCTTTGAGCTATTGATAATGCTGCTAATATTAATCAGCTGTGATGAAAATTGCAATGAGTTAAAGGTGCTACCTTTTTTTTTTAACAGTTACACTATGATTTGCTTTGATTACAGTCTAAAATTTCTATGCAAAAATCTTCTATTCAGAAGTCTATAATCAACTGAAGGTTTTGAAGATTTTCAGAAAAGTCATGTAATTAATATTTCTTATCTTTTCCAGGTTTTAATGACTCGTGATATTTATCTGAGTATTTTCAGGTATTGCTTTTGTGATTTGTATAGTATACATGTCATACTGTTAATGTTGGCTGTGATATTTTTTGTTGGTTTTTATACACATCCAAGTCATTTATGTTATTTAATAAAGTCTTTTTTACAAAGAAGTGGAATGTTATCGCTAAATTAATCCAAACAGCATTGACATCACAATTCTATTATAGGAGAATCTGTATGTGGCTGATATTTTAAGATTTCACCTTTTAAAATGCAAGACTTAAATTTCTATATTAGCTTTAAAATTTTAATTATTATTTCTGCTAAATTTCTGAAGCATTGAAGCACTGAAATGCTTATGGATGATTTGAGAATACTTAAATTCTGAAAAAGAATCAGAGGACTTTCTTAATCATACCCTTCCAACATGGGCATATCTGCTTTAATGACTATTTCTTAAAAAGTTTCATTTGCATTACAAGATGGGCAGTTATTTGTCAAATATTATTTTAATTTAAATTTATAAGTTTATACAAGTATGAGAAAGTACAAAAAGTCACTGATTGCTAATTAGTAAAGAATTATTATTTTTCAGCAATTTAAATCAGTTTGCTTGATTTTGAAAAAGCATGTCTTCAAATACAAAGGCTTGAAATCTAATTAGTTATGCATCATTGAATAAACTTTAATTTTAATGAGTGACTTAACTCAGTGTGGCTCAACAGGCCATGAGAACCAAGGCCTACTGTCCACAACTCAGTATACATGACTTTGGGCCCTGAGGTGCATGAGCAGATGTTCCAGACAGGTGGTCAGTGATGTAAAAAATCCCCAGTGTTAAGCTCCCAAGCAAGCTTGGTACTCATTTATCGACTGGCAGACCTTTGAGCGAGAAGAACCAAATCGTCAGTAAGTAACCTAAAGATGTAACCTAAAGATATTAGAGAGCTATTTACGTGCATTTGTATATTCACACAGGGGAGTGCACTCCACTCCAGAAGAGATCGCAATCAAGACTTACGCTCAAGTTAAAATATTTATATTACGTTTTATGTGTGTACCCCCAGTAGCATTTTCCATTCTCCTTCAAAAATTTGAGGATATTTTTATTTTTTAGGCTCAACTAGATCAATTACTGTCAAAATATCATCATAATGGGAATTAAACTTTCAAGGCTTGTTAAAAAAAGTTCTGTGCGAACAATATCAAAAAGTACTTATTTCTGGAATTTTTTATGTTCATACTAATTAAATTTGATTTTGGGTGTTCTTTTTTATAAAAGTTTGTGAGTTTATTGGCCGAATACATAACCTGTCTTATTTTCATATAAAATTGGCACTGGATTAAATTATTCCATTTTTAAGTCATTTTAATTTAGATCTCTTTAGTCAAGATGCTAATTGCACCCATGTATGTACTTTTATAGAAGAAAAGAGGTGATAAGTGCAGGACTTTTTATTTAAAACTTGATTAGAACAGTGATATTGCTTTGCTTTTAAAGGCTTTATCTCTGGAAAATATCTAGCATTGGGTACATGCTACATGGAAAGACATGTAACTGTAATCCAAGTTTGTTTTGACTGTATACCAGAGACGCCTCTAGACTTTTTGAGGCCCTGGGCCCAGAGAAGATTTTTTGAGACTCTGGGCCCCTATGAAAAAGTAGGCTTTTAAAAGTAGACAGTATACGGCTCATACTCATGCAAATGGTAATAATGTGAAATAAATAAACGTGCACGACTCACAACCTCATAAACTTTGGCACAAACCAGCTCAACTAATGACCACATTTTGACTAAATGAGTTGAATGATTGTTTGTGGTATTAGGTCTAGGCTTAAACATGGACAATTGTCATCATATAAAAATCTTGCTAGTTGACATGCAGTTTGAAATTCCCTGTTTTTCGCAGAATATGTCTGGGAATGGTATTTCACCATTAAAACTATTTGGATCATGATCTTATTAAGACTGAGTCAAGAACAAAATGAGGTCCCCACTGAGGACAGGGCCTGGGCCCAGTTTTCCTATGCCTTAAGACATCCCTGCTCTATACTTACTTATTTGAAGCTGTTATTTACTGCCAGAGGGGCAACTGTGGTACTCGATTCTGGAAATCTCAAAAGCACATATAAATTTAATCATGTCTTCTCCCAATGTACTGTGTTTATATGTATATAATTAAAAATCTTGTTTGTTTTCCTCCCCGGGGATAGCATTTTTAATAGCGAGCAGTGTATAAACTCATTCATAGGGGAGAATCATTTGATCAAGAGTAATTTTAAGAAATACACACATAAAATTTACATGAATATAATTAATAAAACATCAGTTATATATATAAATATATAACTGAATACTAATAAAGCATACATGACGAATAAAAGTTTTTGCAATTACCTATACCCACATATTACAAGACAAAACATAAGCAGAAGAAAATTATTCATATGTTCCTTTTACTATTATTACCAACAAAGTTCTAAGTAGTCAAATTATGACAGTTACAATTTCTGTGTAAATAAGTATTAAATCTTACGCTTGTTATTCAAAGTTTCTGTTGGGCCTTGAATCCTTATTCAGTATGCAATTAACTATACAACTAACAAATGTATCTCTTCTATGAATGTGAGGCTTGCTGCATGTACCAAACATGGGAAATAATTTTAAGCCAATTAAAATTTGAAATTGCAGTTAAAAATGAATGATTGGCCTAACCTGTATGCCATCTATGTAGCAGAAACTCCAGAGGACGGTAAGGGGAGAGGATTTCGTTCTTTTTTAAAACTCTTTCCTTCCTTACCGACATCAGACAAAAAATAATTACATAATCAGATAGACTATTTCACCTGTACGCACAGTATCATTTTTTCAGTTCCTACTCTCTCTCTAAATATATATGAATCTTGTTCAAATTTTCAGTCGTTGATAAAATACTTTCTATTCATCCATTTATGTTCAAATACGTTTTTTTAAACTTGCAGTGGATGATACTTGTTGTTAATACAGTTTTTTCAAATATTAATTAATTAAAAAATGAATATATAGTAACAAACAAAAAAAAATATTAACATAGCATATATAGAAACGAAAATTGTTCGTTGTGTCCCAGTAGCACAATGAATAGCCGGTTGGACTTCTAATTCAAAGGTCGTGGGTTCGAATTCCACTTGAGATGTCCTCATTTCTGAGAATATGATTTATTTTTACTGTACCATTGTATTAGAATAAATAAATTTAATTAATTAATAAATAGTAACAAACAAAAATAATAGTTTAACACCATATATAAAATGGAAAGTCGCTTTCTATTTTGTCACTTAATATTGTGATTCTGTCCTATGTATATACATATTTATATTAATTGAAACTTTATAATAAAAAGTAACTAAATACATATATATAAATTTTCTTTGTTGACCTAAGTGGGAATAGACTTAAAATTTTTTTTTTATATTTTTAGAAATAAAATGCAGAAAAATACTTTTAACGCGAAAAAGCTTAAGACGAAATATTGGTTAACACGAAATAATGCAAAAGTTCCAACAAACTAGTATGTATTTTCATGCATTTTTTTTCTTGTAACACGCAAAGATTTTCCTTCTGGGAATGAACTATGTACAGAAAACACCAACTGTGCAGTTGAGAATTATGAGGAGTGTGTAATGAAAGAGAGGTGGTTTTCACATGCTTCATAAAAAGGCCAACTTGGTTTTGAAATACCCACAGAATAGCCTGTGACAAGCCAGTTTTGTTTATCTAAACTACTTTCACCCTTCATCCCTACAAACTCCGTACAAAAACATCTCATCTCACATCAGCTGGCTTTGGAATTCTCGATTATTAGTACATCATAGTGTGAATAAAAATCAGTGAGTTTGGCTTACATTTTTCTATTTTAGAATAATTTGTTATGAGTACAATGGCAGAGAGCACAAGGGGAAAGCAAACTGCTATTTTGCTTAAAATGAAGATGGAGCTTCCTAAGGCTATTGATCAAAAACAAAACTTGGAAAATTTTGTATTAATTTTATTAAATTCTTGTGAATGTTTTTGTTTCATTGATTTTTAATATATGCATATATATGTGTGTCTATCTAAATAAATGTATGTTTTCTTTTTGCAATATTTTTTAACGCAAAAAAGTATTTCGGTCTCCTCAGTTTCGCGTTAAACGATTTTCACTGCAATTATATTTTACAATTTTTAAAGTCGATTTTTACACGTTTTCAAGGACAAATATTCCGACTGCTCTGTATCTCATTATCATCATGATTAATTGGGTTTAAAGATTGATAAAGTGCACTCTTTTTTTTTTTGCTCTCTTAGTTCTAGATAACTTTAAAAAGTGGCTTGAAAGAAAGGAATGATAAAAAGCTGTTAAAAAGACCGATAGCTATACGATTTGCTTTAATTAAATTAAATATTTCAAACTGAAAAAATTATTCTTATTAAAATTATGCCTACCTTAACATCATGGTGAAATGGCTAGGTGACGCAGTTGGTTAAGTTCTAGCCTATTACGTCCATGTGTGCGGATTCAACCCCGGCCTAAGTCTGTAGATTTTTATGATGTAAAAAATCAACAGCGTCCGTGTCATATGGTTATGCGGCATGTTAAAGATCCCTAGAGTGCCTGTTTGGCTTCATTGCACTAGGCAAAATTAAGTTCCTAGTACGATTTCACTTCGTCAGAGCTCAGATGCCTCCCTCTGGGGAAGAAATTGGGCGTTATAATTACGGTGGAGCGATTGATATCTACCTATATGGTGTCGCATTCAGGCTGTTTTTGGCTAATGTTAAAGAATAGGACCCAAACTCGGAACATTTTTTCAGATATAAAGGTACTTAAACATTAATATTACACATTCTGGCTTCACTGTTCTGTAGAGAATCAGTTATTTTGTCATACTATTTTTTTATCCTATTTGACACATTTTTTTCTTTTATAAAATGTTTTGTTGGGGTTTCGCATTTTTTCTCCTATACCGTAATGCTAAATGAGCTATCCCTTCATATGTTTAAAGGAAAAACTAATTATTTATGAAATATTTTGAAATTTTAACAACACTATTATAAGCAAATGCTTGAATTAGAATGTCACTAATTTTTATAAAAATTGAGGAATTTTTTCTGTTCCAAAAATATGTTCCGCGTTAAGTTCATGCTCTTGTGCATAAGACGAAAACAGCCTTAAAAAGGGATGCCAGCTCGCGGGGAATGTACTAGGTCTGCAATGGTAATTACCAATCTGCAGCCCCTTTTAAAATGAAAAAAACAATGCTGAATTTAGTGAGGGGTTTATTTACGTCTCGCAGTGTATCAACACGAAGACTTTTAGTGAACGGACCTCTTAATTTTGAACCACGGTCATGTGACGAAGACGACACCTGAATTGGCACCCTCTCGCCTTTTTCAACTTATCACGTCACATACACGGAAAGACATTGAACCTCAACAGATTTAACGTGCATTAGCCCTTCTACATGGTGGGTCTTCAGTGACACTAAGCTCAAACTCATGACATTCTGGCCATGACTACTAGTTACCTCGGCCTCAACGTGGGACGAAAGCGAATATAGAATTGACACACTCGATCCGCATTTCATCAGTTTCTTACTTCGTGAGCTAGCAAATTAAGAGTTTAAATTTTTTTGGAAAACAAATTTAAGTTTTCGCTCAATAAATTAAAATATGCTTAAGAGTTTTTGCGGGTGTGGCTGTTTAGTAAGAGAGGTCTAGATCAATTAACATTTTCGCATTCCTTTAAACCACAGTTCTAAATTATATAGAGCGTCGCAAGTTTATGCAAAATAGGAGGGAGATCTCATATTTTCCTCAACTCTAAGACATCTGTTAATCATTTATTAAAAGCAAATAAAATTTATTTTTCAATTCTTACTATTTGCTCACTCTCTCTATATATTTATCTTGTTCAGTTTTCATGTATTAATTAAATTAATTGCCAGTTTTTGACACCAACTTAGATTCGTCTCTATTGTTGTAGCAATATAACTGTTAAAACATAGACAAAAGTTGGCGTCGAAAACCCGTGTTTCAGCCAAACCTGGTGTGCATTGCTACAACAATGCAGACAAATCATGCTCTTTTTTCAGTTCCTACTATTAGTTCCTCTCTCCCTATATACTCAAATTTTCAATCGTTAATAAAATACTTTCTTTTCATCCATTCAAAGTAGGAATTGACTTAATTTTTTTTATATTACTTGTTTAAGATATTGTTACGAATTTTGTGTAAAATAGTGTGTAAATAATTTGTATTTGGATGTGTAATGCATTTATATTACTCTGTTACAACTATTTTATGTTAAATTTGTAATATTCGCAAGTAACGCCGTCCCTTGCGTTATAATAGCAATTCAACGGGAACTTGTCGATAGAACCAAGTTGGCATCCTTATTGGCAAGTTCGGGACTTCTGGAAGTTTGTGGAGAAATTCACTAATTTTAAGACCTATGACGCAAGCGGATCTTTCTCGAATGATCCGCGAGACCTCTAAAGAGAGATGCTCGCCGAAAAGGGTGGCCGCGGTAGCCGAGTGGTATAGGTATCGGACCGTGGCTTGCTTTGTCACGGGTTCGAGCCCAATACCACTAAAGACCCGCCGTGTAGGACAGCGATGCACGTTAAATCTGTCGAGAGCTGAAACGTCCTCCCGTTGGTGTGGTGTGGTAGTTAGGAGAGGGGGGTACCAGCTCAGGTGTCGTCCACGTCACTTGACCATGGTTCAAAATTACGTGGTCCGTCGCCAAAAGCCCTCGTGTAGCTGAACAGTGCGACGTTAATATTCAATCAATCGCCGAAAAGGAGTTAGTCTTGTTTTGACTAGCGATTAATAATCTTGCCTTGACCGTGAAGAGTCGGACTAGCGATTAGCTTGGCTATTGAGTGGACGAGCGGTGCTTGTGAATAATCTAGCCTGTTTGTATTTTAGGCACTGATATTGTGTCTGAGCGCAGTAGAAGGTGTGAAGTCCTTCTGATATTTATTCTACGAAATTTGCTGCTGAATCCTGTATTTCAAGAATTGGTATTTCGACAATAAATTTCCATTGCTCTTAAAGAACTGTCTTGTACTTTGCTACTGATTTGCATAAAATCTTCGAATCCCAATCAGCGTAGCAATATGTTGTGATGTACCTCCCCTTGGAAATACATCCCTCGATACATCAGCGTGAGCTAGAGGTGTAGGGTTATCGTAAGAACTAGAATCAAACATTATCTTAATATGACTTTATTAAGATATTCAACTTAAACTTTGAACAAATATATAAATTAATGTATGAGAGAATCTACGATGTGACACAATGCGCAACACACAATATAATACAGACCCATATCAATAATTGAATCGCCTAATCTTCAAATATAATTATAGTAAGTAATCAATCCTACCTTATATTCTGTAATAAATTTGTCTTTATCTACAGTGGTATGCAGCTGTACATTTAACTTCTAATCGATCACCAATATGTTTATCCACGACACGTAGAACTTGAATCTTTGAACAACGAACTTCAATAATCATCCAATACCACAACGCACCTCAATTGTCGAACATTCCTTTACACTACCATTACATTGCCATCACGCTTACTCTAAGATCCTATATTTATCCTATATTATTTGCATCTCTTCACTTCTTGGATTTGGTTGGAAAAGAGTTGCCATTAATTCTGACCCAAAGGACTTGTCAAAGAAAAGACGCGTAAGTCGTCACAATATGAACCATATTTTCTTATCTATAATTACATAATCAATTTTATTTTCTGACATTTTAATTTAGAATCAATGCGTCAAAGATTACTTATACAGTTTGGTAATGTAATGAAACATATGGGAAAAAATAATAAAATTTGAAAATTATTCTAAAATTAATTAATTTTTCTTCTCTCCCCCGATGTCTATGCAGTATAATTATATTTTATCTCGTTTTTAATGTTTTCGAAAAACTGTATAATCGTTTAACTGGCGAATAGTTTGGTAACTACAGCTAACTATGTTGACTATTGTTTAACAATTAAACATCACAAAGCAGATATATGCTCAGTTTTCCTTTGGTTGTACTTCTCACGATTGTTAAGTATAAAGCCGTGTTATAGGAAATTCTTTATACATATTCTATACATTAAGATTAAAATATCTTAGAAGGATGCACA